CTTCCTGACAGTTAGAACAATTAACCAGTGGAACAACCTGCCTCCAGAAGCGGTGAATGCACCAACACTGGAAGTTTTTAAGAAGAAACTGGACAGCCATTTGTCCGAAATGGTATAGGGTTTCCTGCCTGAGCAGGGGGTTGGACTAGATGACCTCCAAGGTCCCTTCCAACTTTATCATTATTATTATTATTATTATTATTATTATTATTATTATTATTATTATTATTATTAAGTGACTGTCCAGTCTCCTCTTAAAAAACCTCCAGTGATGGAGCTCCCATGATTTCTGAAGACAAGTTGTTCCATTGGTTAATTGTCCTCACTGTCAGGGAGTTTCTCCTTCATTCCAGGTTGCTTCTCTCTTTGATCAGTTTCCAACCATTGTTTCTTGTCCTGCCCTCTGGAGAATAATTTGACCCCCTCTTCTTTGTTGCAGCCCCTCAAATAATGTGCCTACTTGGTGTAAATTGGGGATCATATATCTTTATCTGCTTTCTTTTTCAATGGAGTGCTGCAGCGGGTATCTGCACTGCTCGGATTGGAGCGATTTACCAACCCAGTAAAGAAATCCACACGGCTTCTAGATCTCCCTACACTTTCTCACGCTGCTTCTCCGGAGACCCCGGGATGAAGCCCAGGGCGGGAGAAGCCCCTCCAGCGCTTTATTCTCAGACGGGGCGGCGCTTTCAACATGCCAACCCGTCCCTCCCCTGACCCCGCGCGAAGGCAGCGCGGATCCTCCGGTTTCTCCAACCCGGCTGCTGCAAGGCGCTTGCATGTTCCGATCCAAAGGTCTCACCTTCTACAGGAGCGGGTCGGGGACGAGGAGAAGAGCCGCGGCTGCAACTCCACGCCAGCCGGCCCTCCCGGCGAGCAGGAAGCGATCGGCACACTCCACCTCTCGGCGTCGGCCCCTTTTCCTGTGTGAGTTGCATGTCGGGAGCGCGGAAAAAGGCCCGGGTTGCAAGAGGTAAGGCTGGTTTTGAATGTGTCCCGGATCGTGGTTTGGGGGAGATCTAGATTAGGGGAAGGAGGTGTGTGTGTATGCGTGTATGGGGCGGGGGAGGAAAGAAAACAGGACTCTTAAAAGCGTGAGGCGTGCAAAACTCGGTGCTAGGAATCATAAGAATCTAGTGCTGAGGGCGAGGGGGAATGTGTGAGTTTTCTTAATAACGTATATTTTCCAGATGTGCTCGGACTCCACCAACCCTGGCTATGTTTGCTAAGGCGTATGGGATTTGGAATCCCGCCCAGTTTTCTATCCCTAATCTAATCCCTAATCAAAATCCTAATCCGAACTTTGTCCTTGGGGTTTTTTTGTTAGCACCATTTTTATTCCTTTTCTGCTCTCTTCGTTGCTTATTCAAAAGGGAATAGCAGATTGTGTGTGTGCATTTAATAATAATAATAATAATAATAATAATAATAATAATAATAATAATAATAATAATAATAATAATAATAATAATAATAATAATAGTAGTAGTAAAGTTGGAAGGAACCTTGAAGGTCATCTAGTCCAACCCCCTGCTCAGGCAGGAAACCCTATACCATTTCGGACAAATGGCTGTCCAGTCTCTTCTTAAAAACTTCCAATGTTGGAGCATTCACCGCTTCTGGAGGCAGGTTGTTCCACTGGTTAATTGTTCTCACTGTCAGGAAGTTTCTCCTTAGTTCTA